AGGGGGCTAAAACTCAAAATTACTTTCATGCTTGTATAAATTATAGGAGGAAGTGTAACACTATTCACCAAATTCAAGACTATGGGTAATTGGTTCAACACCTCTGACAGCATTGCTTCTAGTGCTGTTAGTCACTTCCAAGAATTACTTTCTCAACCCCCTGAAGGCAGGATCCCTATCAATGCCACTCTCTTCTATCATGAAAAATAGTATACTGGCAAGTTGAACCTCAAATGCATCCCTCAAGAAGATGAAATCAAAGCTGCTTTAAATTCCATTGACAACAACATAGTGGCCGGTTCGGATGACTATTCTGTAGATTTTTATAAAAAGGCCTGGCACATTGTGAAGCTTGATGTCATTGAGGCAATACAATGTTTCTTCAAGGGGTTGGATCCTCCTAACTATTTCAAAGCCTCTACCATCACTCTCATCCCTAAGGAAAAGAGCAGAAATAAGTGAGACCAATTTAGACCTATTAGCCTTAATAATGTGGTTACTAAAATTATCAGCAAGGTTCTAATGTTTAGGCTCCAACCTCAATTAGCCCATATGATAAGTTCTAACCAATCAGCATTCATCCAAGGCAGAAGCATTGTGGACAATGTATTGTTGGGGTTTCATTGAGGAGGTGTTATTGGCTAGATGTTTCTCTATTCATTTCACTAACATGACTAATAGATGGCTCGCCAACAACTCTCACACCATCCTTATTAATGGGAAAACACATGGTTTCTTCAGCTCTTCCAGAAGGATCAAACAAGGAGACCCCCTCCCCCCCAACAATTTTCATCCTAGTTTTTTACTACCTATCCAGAATGCTGAATCAACTATCTCAAAGATCCCCCCACATTCAATTTAACCACAGATCTAATATTGACATCAGCCAACTATCTTATGCTGATGACATCCTACCGTTCTCCAAAGCCACTAAACCTGTTGTCAAACTTATGTATGAATGTCTTCAGATCTTTCAATCTTGCTCAGGAATGAAATTCAACACCAACAAATGCATCATCTTGTTCGGCAAATGGGTAATGCCCCCTGTCAGACACTGGATTTCAAATTAAGCTGAGTTCAACGCAAGAAAGACTCCTCTGAAGTACCTAGGTGTTCAATTACTCGACGACAGAACTAGATAAACCCAATTTGACGAGGTTGTGACAAAAATTAATGAACAACATAGCTGTTGGACCAACTCTTTTCTCTCTAACGGAGGGAGAATTACTCTCTTAAGGAATATTCTTTTAGCATTCTCTTCTTATATCCTACAAATGGCTATCATGAAGAAAATCACTCAAACTACTTATGGAAAGGTGCTTCTACAAATTTCTCTGCTCTAAGCAAAGGAAGCAGGTTCACTGGACTAGCTGAAAAAGAGTGTGCAAACCTCTTCATGCTTGGGGGCTGGGTTTCATAAGCTTCCATCACCTCAAACACATTAACTTTTGCAAACTTTGAATTCAAATCAGATGTCAATCTTCTCTTTAGGCCAAATTCTTGAGGGAGGAAGTACTGTAGGGATCAGCACCATTCCTTGGTGTCCAAAAAGCTGGGGGATTCTAGAAGCTGGTCTAATATGTTCATAGTTAAATCCAAGGCAGAAGACTAATTCAATTGGGAACTGGGGGAAGGTGGTATTAACTTCTGGTTCGATAATTGGACATTGGAGGGGAAGCTAGATGATACAAACCTCTCTTCCACCAACTTTAATCTTAAAGTTTTTGACTGCTGGTAAAATTGCTTTTGGAACATCCAAGCTTTGCACAACATCTTAGACAGCTCTCAAATCAGAAGGATGCTGAAGATTCCCGTTGAGACGTCCAAAAAGGATAAATTATCATCAAGAAAAACATTTCTCAAAATGTATCTGCATATATTTACAATATTTGTGACCAAGAGCAGAATGTTTTGTGGGGTAAACATATTTGGGGCAAGTTTTTATGCCCCTCCATGCCTTTCTTCTGTTGGTGTTTATTTTCACATCTGCTTCCTACAAATGATATACTTAAGCTCCAAGGACTTCAGGGACTTTCTTGCTGTGTGTTGTGTGAACAAGATGAGGAACGCCTACATCACTTAATCTTTGGTTTTCCTTTTGTCCAGAATGACTGGAATAATGGCTTGAACCAGCTTAACATCAACACACTGACTCTCTCATAGCACATTTCCACAATTGTTGGCAAGAATGGCAGCAGGTAAACCTCTCCCCCATTCCTTGTATGGTGGCCTGGTTTGTCTGGATGGCTAGGAACCAGCATAAATATGAGGAGAATCTTCTGGACACTAACACTGTTGCAAACCATTGTTTGATGCACCAGGCCAAACTTATCAAACTTAAGCATTTCCCTGATATTTGCTCCCGGATAGGTGGTAGCCTACTCCACTTCTCCACTGGTAGGCTTGTTTATTTGCAGAAACTTGCCTTGGGCTGGATTGAAGTGAACACAAATGGAAGCTTCCTAGATTATGAAGCTATCATTGGGGTTGTATTTCGGGACTGGCAGTGCAGGTGTATAGTGTATTTCCAATCCCCTATTGTTGCCAAGAATGCATTGGAAGCTAAGGCTATTGCAGTTTATTGGGCTCTTCTCATTGCTGTTAGGGACAACTACCAGCAGCTTATTGTTGAATCAAGCTCCCAAATTCAGGTTAACATACTGAACAATCAACCGGAGTGTCCTTGTAATTTATTGCTCTGGATTAAACAATTAACCTAATGGCAAGCAACATTACCATAAAATATACCTTTTTAAATAGAGAATGCAATAGGCCAACAAATTGGTTGGCCAAGGCAGGTTTACACTCAGAAATTTCTGTAATTAGCAAAGTTTTATCTCCCCCTCTTTCCTTTCTGTTAGATGGGGACCTTTTGAGTCTTCCTTTCTTTAGATCTTTCTAACCCCATCACTTGTTCAATGATATCCCCATCTCTTGTTCATAGGTACACCTTGTATCTATGGCTGTGAAGTTTTTTGTGTTAATATATATAAGAGAAAAGAAAAGTAATGATTTAATTCAAATAATGTGTAGTAAAGATGAAAATTTAAATGTGTTTTTCTTAGAGAATGATATTCAACATAGAAGGGTGGGATATTCTGATAAACCTTTTAAAAAAGTTTCTGAAAATGCAATCTACCTTAGTGAATTTAATATAGTTAATAATAATATAACTTTTTATTATTTTTATCGCATTAGTAAAAAAGAAGTTGATGAGATTTTAAAGAAACCCAAAAATGAAAAACAATAAGATCTAATGATATCCTAATTGATGTGTGGAAATATTTAGAAGATATAGGATTTTCTTGGCTTACTAAACTCTTTAATATTAATTTAAAAACTAAAAAGATATCTATGAAGTAGAGAGTATTTTGATTCCCATTTTTAAGAATAAATGGAAGGCGCAAGAGTGCAAATTATAGAAGAATAAGTTAATGTGTCATATATTAAAATTATAGGAGAAAGTACTTAAATATAGCTTAAGACGCGATACAAAGGTTTCACATAATCAATTTGGATTTATGTCGAGCAAGTCTACTATGGAAGGTATACATTTATTGAGAGTTTTGATGAAGAAGTACAGAGAGAGTAACAAGGATCTACAAATAATGTTTATTGATTTAGAAAAAGCTTATGATAAAGTTCTAAGAGGAATTCCTTGGAGACATCTAGGAAAAAAAGCTATTGATATGACTTATATTCATGTTATTAAGGATATGAATGCAAGAGTTGTTACTAGTGTTCAAATAGAAGGAGGATTGACTAAGATTTTCCTATTTCAGTTGGTTTACATTAAGGATCGGCTTTAAACCCATATCCTTTTGTTTTAGTTATGGATGCTCTTACTCGACACTTACAAGGGATATACCTTGGTGTATGTTTTTTCATGATGATATTTTTCTAGTGGATAAGACTATAGAAAGAGTTTAGAAAAAGCTTGAATTATGGAGGTCTGCATTGGATTCTAAAGGCCTTCATTTGAGTGGATCTAAAGTTGAATACATGGAATGTACTTTTAGTATTGGTAGAGCTAGTCGTAGAGTAGTTTTTATGGGTAATCAAATCATCAAAAGGAGTGACCATTTTAGATATATCGGGTCTATTGTTCAAAGTAATGGTGATATAGTGGGGATGTTATTAGAAGAATTCAAGTTGGATGGTTAAAGTGGAGGAATGCATCGGGCCTATTGTGTGATAGAAAAATATCGCTTAAACTTAGAGAAAAAATTTATAAAACAGTGGTGAGACCTGCAATGATTTATGGCGAATAATGTTGTCCTTCAAGTGAGAAGCATAAAACTAAGTTAAGTGTTACTGAGATAAGAATGCTTAGGTGGATAGAGACAAAATGTGAAATGAATGTATCCGTGAAATGGTTGTTGTAGCTTCAGCGGCATACAAGATTAAAGAGAGTCGTCTTAGATGATTTGGTTACATAAATGTAAACGTCGACCATCTGATAATCCAATTAGGAGAGTAGACGTTTTAGATTTGACTTATGTTAAGAAAGGCGGATGTATGCATAAAAAGACATGGGCATATTGTATAAAAATATATCTTAATTTATTAGATTTAAATGAAAATATGATACTCAATATGACATAATGGATAAAAGGATTCACGTAGCCGACCACACTTAGTGGGATAAAAGCTTGTTAATGTTGTTATTGTATTTCTTTCACAGATAGTTATTTCTATACCCGTTTAAATACAACTTCATATCAAACTTTTTACATAGAAATAATTGAAAAAAATCAACTATTTTCACTCTCTCCTCTTCCTTTTAATTTTCAAGCCAAATTCTAAAAATTGACCAAAACTAACCTTAAACACAAGTATAAGATAAATTTTGGTGGTATATGGTCAGAAATTGGAATTTTTTTCCTGGTCTTGGGTTTAACATCCAAATCCGAAACTTAACTTGTGAACCTGGGTTCCTGCTGCTTCTTGCTTCTGCTAAACGAAGATCATTATTCAAAGTTAGATGCAAGTGTACTTACCTGCAACTTGTCCACTAAAAAGAGCTGAAAGCATTACATCAAAATTCTCAGGATCTTGTGGTTGGAAGTCATAGACGAATGCCTGCGTGGTCATAAGTCAAGAATGATTTTTTAGAAAGGTGTTGACTATTACATCAGTAAAAAAATACTCTACTAAATAATGAAATGAAGAGTGCGATTTAGAAAGGATTTGTTAACACATGGATTTAAAAAAATAGAGTGAGAACCTTATGGTTGAATACCATATAAAATGCCTAGAAAAATAATCAGATAATACAGTTTAGGATCAACCATCAGCTTAATAAACTACATGTCCGAGAATTTTATAAGTTACCTAAGATACTACATGAGAAAGCAAAAAGAGTTGGTCCCTGAGAATTTAATAATTTACAGTAAAATATTATATAAGAAAGTATATATGAATGCATGCTACTGCATAGAAGTTGTATACTGAGGTAAATAAAATCACATCAAAAGGAAAAATGTTCAGTAGTTCAGCTCACGATCATGAGCGCCTTTTGTAATTTTCATATATAGTGAATTTGTTTATTTTCCTTGATTGTAGATGTAGAAGATACAACTCCAAACATTAAATTTTCCTTTTGTGTGATTGATTTATTCACCATCGTGTACAATTGATCTAATTCATAAAAATCACTAATGACACATTCTTAGAATGGAGATCATACAGGAAAATGGAGAAATTTTCATTTGTCAAAAAATGCCCAGGAAATACTTCAAAAAAAAAAATCATGTGTGTCTCCGAAATATGTCGACATGAATCTCAAAAAAATTAAATGGGCTAAGAGACAAAAGAGCGATTAAAGACGAACCATAGAGGTAAGGCCCAAGGTCACCTCACTAGAAAGCTACAGAACCTAACCGGCCAACTATAATTATTTTGTCAGGACCCGAAGCCGACCAAACAGGGCCGCCCAAGACGAAGATCAAGATTCATCTTGCTATGAGAGAGAGCATTCTCCAGACTCTCATCCCAGCACTATCAGCCGCCTCGTAAGAGCCCCCAAAGACACCTCATGAGTTTGAAGGTTATCATTACGACATGCTCCATAAATACTTTAGATGAGCCTCCCATTAAGAGGTTAGCTACCTATCGATTACGATGATTAACCCTTTAACCGATAGCCTAGACTCATCCCGAAAATATGAGCGACTCATCTAGGGGTCGCCTGTCGACATCCGAACCAAATTGGCCGACTGGCTAACTCAAGTCGATCGAGTGAAGGTCTGGATGACCAAAAGACAGCTAAAGCTGACCGACTGACCCAACTCAACAGAGCTGACAAAGTGTCCTAGCCGATCCAAGGACTATCGCTCCTAATTGACTAAACGATAGGGTGATCGAGCCATAGGATCATTTTTTTGTACCAAGAATAACCTATAGCGCCACCATAAAAAGTTGGGGCAAGAATGTAATTGTATATTTGATGACCCATTGCCTATATATAGGGGTTTATTTATACAATAGAATGTTAATTGGTTATTATTCATTGAGCCAATTTTTTATTGTGCACTCTCTCTATCTCTCTGTTGTTTTATGGACTATATCTTGGGTGTGATTCACAGAACAGATTCGAATTCAACATCCTAAAAGTTGCGGTGTGCGTAAATCATGCCACCAAAAAAAAAAGAGCACAAAGAGAAAAAGCCCATTAAAGAGGAACAGTGAACATGGATGGAGTGCACCAGGGAATTCTTGCAATAGTAGATTAAGGTGCTAAAATACCAGACGTTGGGCCAAATTTAAGAAGCATTAAAGAAGCAGAAGAGAGAAGCAAGGAACCAAACCTCACGGAAGAACCAGCACCCAACAGTCGGAGGACATTGTTGGCCAAGGAAAGAGCGGAAGATCTCCGGTACCAGGACAGTGTTGGGTCAGTGTTAATGAATAAACAGTTGTTCGGACGCACTGAGGCCCCACACCAGCTTGAGAATGCCTTCTCTCGAGAGATGTCAGCCGCTGAACCCCCTTTCCCCCCACTTGAAGTTCAAAGTACCATCGCTCAACTCCTACAAAGGTCAGACTGATCCGATCGACCACATAGCCTCCTTCGCATCAACATTCTGCCTACTGAGGATCACTGACACTCTGAAGTGTCATATTTTCTTCACCATGCTGGGGGAGTCAGTCCTCAAGTGATTTAATGGATTGCCCGCCGGGGTAATCACCTCCTTCGTTGAGTTCAAGAGGATGTTCATGGCATGGTTTGTCAGGGCTCATAAGCCGCAAAAGAGTTTGCAAGTCCTGTGACAGGTCATACAAGGGCAACATGAGAACTTGCACTCGTATATAACTCGATTCTATAAGGAGATGTTGGAGATGCAGAATCTGGAACCGCAGCAATACATGTTGTCGTGTCCCAATTGTTGAGAGGAGAACAATTTCGATATGCCTTCGGCCTGCAACAACCAAACATCTTGGGCAAACTATTGTAGATGGCCAACAGCCACATCACAGTCGAAGAATACGTCAACAGCCCCACCTACCACAAAGTTGAACCATCAGACTGTCATTCATGGAAGAGAGCCCTGCAAAATAACATGTAGAGGCCAAAGGATGGCCAACGCACTCCCATCCATCCCCGACGTGAAGATAGCCAGCCGCCTCGAGGCAACAGTGATGTCGACATGACCAACCATTAAGGTGGTCGGGCAAGATACACTGACCAACAGCCAGCTTGTTATCATGAGAGACCGATGAACAATCAGGAGGCACAAAGGGCTACTCTGTTGAGGGTCTCGATGGCCAAGTTATACTTCAGGAAGGCGACCCCAAGCAGGGTCGGATCTTTTCTCCGAGGCCCAAAGAAGTATTATGCCTACCATACATACCATGGCTATGATACGAAAGAATGCAGACACCTCCAAAGCCGGGTCGAAGAGCTAATAAGAGCTGGAAAGCTCAAAGGTTTGTGGCACCTGGTGTTAAAACACAGAGGCATAGGAATGTCCTAGTAGAGGAAATCTTGGATTAGCTAGTACAAGCGAACGCCATCCACAACGTTGGATTCATAATAGCCATCTTTGGGAGGAATCCTCCAGCCGAGCCTGTTAGAAGAGGCTCTGATTGGGAGAACTTTATGCAGTCATTTTTTGCTTTGAAGAGTCGCACTCATCTGCCAATGACATTCACTGATGCGGACCTGCCCCCAAAGAGGAATCTATATAATAACGCCATCCTTGTGATGGCAATAATCAATACCAGTTAGGCAGCATCCTGGTTGACACTGGCAACTCTGTGAACATTTTGTTCGAGTTATTGTTTGATAAGTTGAACCTCCAGACCGACTGGTTGGCAGCACCAAATGGCCCTACAGTTTCTTTTGACAGAGAAAGGAGACATTAGGAGTGATTGCGTTACAAATCGCTCAGGGAGGAGGCGATAAGCAATTCTCTTATATGGAAGATTTTCTAGTGGTGGACTCTGCTACAACCTACAATGCAATCTTTCGGTTCATTATTAAATGATTACAAAGTCGCAATCTCTACATATCACATCGCTGTAAATTTTCCTGACGACTGAGAAATCATCACAGTTCGTGAGAACTTGGAGCACTCTAGAATCTGCTATCTCCGAGCGGCCAGAAGGGTGGAACAGAAGCCGCTCGACCTCCAGAACAGGCGTGAAGGGGGTCTCGAGACCAATGAGAGCTCCCACAAAGTACCTGCAGCAGAAGAGGAGAATGGTAAAATTTTCTAATTAGCAAAAATTTTGACGTAGGAAAGATGAACTAGTCAGAACCCTTAAGGAGCATTGAGATGCTTCCGCTTGGTCAACGGCGGAGATGCTAAGGATCCTGCTTGACATCTCCTGTCATTGGCTAAATGTAACGCAATCTCCTGACCAATGAAACAGAAGATTCAGATCCTTGGCGATGACTCTAACAAGTTCGAATCAGGAAGAGATCTAGAAGCTGAAGGAGACAAGCTACATCCAGGAGCTCCAGCACCCAACGTAGGTTTCGAACATAGTGATGGTCCAAAAGGTGAATGGTAAGTAAAGAATGTGCATACACTTCACCTACCTGAGCTCTGTCTGCCTGAAAGTCAACTAGCAACCACCGAGGATCGACGCATTTGTAGACTCTTCTTTATTGCATTCTCATGCTGCCACAAGATCAAGATGCATACGGCGGACACTGAAAAAATAGCTTTTATCACTAGTGAAGGAGTGTACTGCATATTGCAACTCCCTTTGGGCTTAAAAATGTTGAGATCACATATCAACATCTTATGGATGTAATATTTTCTAATCAAAAGGGTAAAAACCTTGAAATGTATTTAAATGATGTGTTAATTAAGAGTCAGTTGTCAAAACAATATGTAAACAACTTCAAAGAAACTTTCAAAACCTTTCGAAAATATAACAAGAAACTTAATCCGCAGAAATGCACCTTTGGGCATCAACAGGCAAATTTCTCGGCTACCTACTAACCTCAAAAGGCATAAAGCCAAATTTGGAGAATATACAAGCATTGTTGGACATGTCTTCCCCTCAGAACACAAAAAGAAGTGCAAGAACTGGCCGAACGGATAGATGGACTGAGCCATTTTATCTCAAAATCGGGCAATAAATGTGCAGTATTTTTCAAAACACTTAGGAAAGCAGAAAAATTTGAATGGATGTCTGATTGTGAGTAGGCATTCAAAAATTTGAAGGACTCTTTAACATCATCAGCACTCTAAAGCGCGGAGCTAAATAAAGAACTTTCACTGTACTTAGGAGTAGGGACTAAGGCAATCAACTCTGTGCTAGTCCGAGAGAAGCTGAAGAAGCCATTCTCCGTTTACTGCACCAGTCGGCACCTCAGAAGTGCGAAGGTCAGGTATCCAGTTTTAAAAATAATTAACATTTGTCTGAATTATTTCAGCATGTATACTCCGACCGTATTTTGATACGCATCCAATCTGAGGCATTACTAGCCATCTCCTCAAATTCGTTCTCACGCAGCCAAAACACTCCGGTCGACTTCTCAAATGAGCAGTGGAGCTTAGTGAGTTCGATATCACCTATGCATCCCGAACAACGATCAAAGCACAAGTTGCAGAAAACTTTTTCAAACAATGCGAATCGAGCAAAGGAACTACTACTAACAACAAGGCCTGAACCTTGTACAACAATGTGCTTCCAACCAGACCGGAGCGGAGCTTAGACTTTGCTTTGAGGAATCCAACTGAAGAACACCTTTATCACTCATTTTCGTGGAGTTCGACGTGACAAACAACAAGGTAAAATATGTGGCCTTGATTGTCGGCCTACGTTGAGCTCATGAGATAGGCGTCAGGTGTCTTCTGCTGAAGTCAGATTCATAGTAGGTAGTGAACCAGGTAAATGGAGAGTACAAGGCCAGACATGATATGATAGTTAAGTACCTCAAGAAAGTAAAGATAGAGATCTAGTTTGTCAGCTTCAAGATTGAAAACATTAAACGAGGAGATTTGGGTGGTCGATCTCCTATTCAGTTGCATCTGCTTGGGGGAGGAAACAACACTAAAACTAATTCGACAAACCATTGAGAAACCCAAAGCGATGGAAGTAGAGAACGAAGGGACAAAGAGTTGGATAGATCAATACATCTATTATTTGGAGAATGGGCAAATTGTAGAAGAAATTGCCAAAAGTGCAAATGCAAGGCTGCTAATTATCTAATGATCGAGAGAAAACTCTTCCGGAAGTCAATCACATCTTAATATTTGAGGTGTGGAAAGGTTAAATAGAAAATATCCTCCGAGAGATACACTCTGTAGAGTGCGGGAGCCATTCCAGAGAGAATATTAACACACAGAATGCAGTGATAAGAGTACTTTTGGCCGACACTACTGAAAGAGGAGGAAAATTTCCTTAAAAAGTGTGGGCAATGTCAAATGTTTGCCACAATGCAACGTCCGCCAGCACACAAACTTCAACCGATCACAAGCCCTACGGGGTCTACAACATCGGGTAGTTTACTCCATCCAAAAGGCAAATTCCTCTTAGTCATCGTGGATTATTTATTAACGTGGATCGAAGCCAAAGAGCTCGCTCGGATCACTATTGAAGTCGCCTGGAACTTTATCTGAACAAATCTCATCTGCTGATATGGTCTACTGTTCGTCATCATCACTGATAATGGAACACAGTTCGCCTACAGTGAATAGAATATTTCAGTCAAAGTTAAGAAATAAACTTAAAATTCGCATCGGTGCAACATTCACAGACAAATTCGCATCGTTTTGGTCTCTTTTATATATTTTGAGTGTTTTTCATTTGTGTGTCTGCATGCCTGGATTGTTTTATATTGTTTATTTATATGCATCTGAGATCTCACGAAAAATATAATCTAGGCTCATTAAGGACCTAAAATTATAATTCTCTACTTAAAAATCCTAATGAAAGACTAAGATAATCAAAATTTAGGGTTAAAAGATTCAGGACTTTTTAAAACCTGTCTTTACTGTTTTTCATGTCCCTCAGGTTGGTTTTAAAACGGATCGCACGTATGGTTATATCCCAAATCATATTTAATAGGGTCTCCACACATAAGATTGTGGTAGATAACTGCATTATGTTGCATGTCCCAATGAGAAGTCCCCATGCTTCTCCAACTCGAGTGGTCCAACATAGCTTTTTACATAGGAGGTTGTCTAATGTGTTTAGGATATTAAAAAGGTCCCCGACCCAAACGGGGTGTAAGTCCTTTTGTTTGAAGCATTTTCAGTTTCACAGCTGAACCTCCCTTCCTCTTTCTTCCCTGAGGATCCTTGTCATCTCGGCGAGTATAAGTCTCACCTTGGAGCTTCAGCCAATAGTCATAGAATAGAGTCTCGTTCCTTTGAACATAGTGCTGTCAAGGTTCCCCGTGGACGACACAATTCACAGATTACTGGCCGGGGATCTCATAACGTGTTGGGTCAACTACCTTCACGACCAGGTAGACTTAGAGTCCTAGTAGCTATGGATGACAAGTCCGTGGTACCCCGACCTTGCTTCCTCTACCTCTTAGGACTATTACCTTCTTGTGACTACCCGTGTTGAGCCCTTTCACTCCTTTGAAGTCGTTGATATCATTTTGACATCCTGATGGCGATGAGCTATCGCCGTTTGGGATACGACAATTTGTCATGTACCCTTATGGACCGAATGTGCTTTGACGCATAAGGATTATCTCATACGATATGTATGTCAATGAGCCACTATCCATTCAGGACGCGAGAGATTATACTCCACCCGATGTCTTAGCGTTAGTTTTGAAGCATCGGGATCGTCCCATACAAAATAACCTATCTTTGATAACCTGCACCCCAGGTTCATGATAATAAAACGAAACCCTTTTATCGACATTTTTTTTGGGTATCCCTCAAGATGTAATTAACCAGTAGAAATACTTCCCTCTGGGAAGCTTTTGACCACAGAATAAAAGTATTCTTTTTGGTTCTCTGGTTACGGGTAGCTTACATAAGGATTTTTTTTTGTGAACGTGGTGTTGCAAGGTATTTCAATCCAATTTTGTTTGGACATATACTCTCGACCCATCACACGAGGATTACTCATATATAAGTCTTTTGTCTCTTTTCTTTTTAATTGTTTGTCTATTTATTGTTGTGTGTCCTTTTGCTATTCGATTGTTCTCTTCTTGAATTATTTATATGGTCCGGAAGGGAAACTTATTCGAATAGGGAATTATATGATGACACATAAATAGACAAGTTGACAACTCTGATATGTTAAAAAGAACCGAGATGATATCATGTCGAGTTCAAGAGGAAACTCAAAGTTAAAGTTTCAATTTCCACATCAGTTAACTTTGAGTAAAAAGTCAAAATTAATTGATTTAAAGCTGTCTTTTTAAAATTCTTTTAAAAATGGTTTTTTTTCAAATTCTTTTAAAAATGGTTGGAAAAAAAGGTTTCATTTTGAATGAAAGCCTCTAAGGAAACTCAAAGTTCAAGAGGAAACTCAAAGTTAAAGTTTCATGTCGAGTTCAAGAGGAAACTTAAAGTTAAAGTTTCAATTTCCACATCAGTTAACTTTGAGTAAAAAGTCAAAATTGATTGATTTCAAGCTGTTTTTTTTTTTAATTCTTTTAAAAATGGTTTTTTTTCAAATTCTTTTAAAAATGGTTGAAAAAAAAGGTTTCATTTTGAATGAAAGCCTCTAAATTTCATATTTTTCAACATTTAAATCTATTTATGTATGCAATAAAAGTGAAATGGAAAGAAAGGGTTCTCTTATATATTTAGAGATAATATCATGTCGAGTTCAAGAGAAAACGCAAAATTAAAGTTTCAATTTCCGGATCAATTAACTTTGAGTAAAATTAAAATTGATTGATTTCAAGCCGCCTTTTTAAATTCTTTTAAAAATGGATTTCTTTTCAATTTTTTTTTAAAAATGGCTGAAAAAAAATGGTTTTACTTTGGAATGAAAACCTCTGAATATTGTATTTTTCTACATTTAAATCTATTGATGTTTACAATAAAAGTAAAATAGAAAGAAAAGTTTCACTTATATATCATTAGAGATGATATCAAGCTGAGTTCAAGAGAATACTCAAAATTAAAGTTTCAATTTCCGCATGAGTTAACTTTGAGTAAAGTCAAAATTGATCGATTTCAAGCTGCCTTTTTAGCTTATTTGAGTTGAAACTCTTAATTATTAACGCTACTTCATAAAATACTAAAAATAACTAACATAAATTATAGTATCTGCATGAATTGTTACATGTTACAGGCTAGCAAATAAAAGAAATATGGCTTTCCGCAGAAGTATGAAATCCATTTTTCTGCAACCAACAAATCACAAGCTTATATGTTACTCACTTTTTGTGATTTATCTGAATCGATTATGAAAAGAAATTTGTTTTCTTTGCTTATTTATTGGTGGTGTGGCTTATATACTTATTCTTTACCAATGTAAAATCAAACAAATGGGATGCTCCGTTTCTATAGTGCCAAAATCATAAATAAAACAAATAAACACCAACCCTAACCAAATGAAAACTACCCTTGTCAAGAGAAATTATTCTCATTTCATACATCAAGAAAATTGAAAGCCACTGCAAGACCACCAAAACTAAAGACCAGACAAGAGAATAGGTTTTCTAGTTTTAACAGATGCAGTCAATAAAACCAAGTTTTAAGTCAGCAAACATGATGAGACAAAACCAGGTATGGGGCCTTTACATACATAACACCCACTTCTTATGAATTTACATATCTAACAACTAAAGTTTTCTTTTCTACATTTACACCACACAAATCTTTCATATCACATAAAAAATACCACCATTACAACTTTTAAAAAGTGAAATAAACATTTTCATGCATAGAAAAGGTTGTGTGTCTACAACATTGAGGTATAGGCCTTATATATGTAAATACAAAGAAATTAAGTGGTATATATGTAAATCTTTCAATAAAAATATTTTCCACTGCTGCCGAAAATAGAATTGGATGATTAAATAATTTCCACATACACTATTCTCATCATTATGTATCGATATTCTTTCATTACTGAGAAATGTTCTCTCATCATTAGAAGATCTTTCATCCATTTTGTTTTAACTTTATTTGTTTCTTCTTTAGACCATACATAGAACTTCAGTATTTGTGTACAATGCAGGAGAAAACATTAAAAACACTACTACCTTTGCCAAAACATGGTATATCGAATAGAACGGAAAGAAAGCAGAACTCACAAAAATCCCATTTTTTTTAGATTAAAAACTTAGGAAGAAATCTGATAAATCAAAGCAAGAACGGGATGAATCAAAAGGACCTGAGGATGAGGACAGCTGGGTTTAACGATGACCATGAAGTGCTGCAAATCCCAGGCTCCGAGAGCGTAAGCAGTCGACACAAGCATCTGTGCTGGACCGCGAGGAGCCCTAAGGGGCACGGCCGCTACATAGATCGCGTCTCTTCCCTTAGCTTCTTCGCGCTTGGGAAGAAGAGTTGAGGGTTTTGGGGAAGCGAAGAGAGCCGCAGACGCCATACGACAAAACCTTGGACTCAGAGAAGGAAAGCTGGCAAAGTAGATATTTTTGAAATTTGACAAAACGGCCTTTTGAGATCTCCTTAATCAGAAAATCTAGGACTTAAATACGAAAGCTGTTTATTTGCATATGCAGCACTCAAAATCCTTATATTTATATGTTGATGATCCAAAATTTTCAAAATACTCGAACTTAGCACCTTCTCTTCTGGTTGTCTCCTCTCTCGTATGAGCTCTTTTTCGGTCAGGAAACCTGACGGTCTGCATGGTACGCTGGTCAATAAAATTTTGTCGCGTGAAAAATGTGGGACCCGCTTGTCCACGTAATTTAAAAAAAAGAAAAAAATTCGCTGAGGCCGACCCGGCCCGATGTACGAGCCCGTGTCTATTCGAGTACCACGCTTTTTAGAATGTCGAGGAAGACGATTCGAAAATACTCTCCGGTGGTTTTTCTTCTTCGTTTTCGCCGCTCGCTCTGCTAGGGTTTCACATTTCCCTCGTTCGCTAGCTTGGAAGCCTTGAGACGATGGCGTTTGATGATCCGGAGTATGCGCAGACCAAAGAGACCTCAAAAACAGTATCAGAAGAGGCTGAGAAGACAGAAGTTGAGCAGTCATTGAAGTCAAAGAAGCAGAGGAAGAAGGAGGCGAAGAGGATGAAGGAGGGCATTGAAGAGGAAAACTTGTCCTGGTAATTGTCATCGTTTTATTTTCAAGTTATTTTTAGGTTATTAGTTTGATTATTATCGGGTTATTCTTGAGTTACTCTGAAACGTAGTTCTTATTGGCAGCTATTCCATGTTATTCTTGTGTTATTTTTAAATTATTCGTAGGTTATTTATAAGTTAGGCGTATCTTATTCGCTGGTTAAACCTGAGTTATTTTTAGGTTATTTTTTATGTTATTTGTAGGTTATCTGTAGGTTATTTGTAGGTTATTAATCAGGTTATTCGTAGGTTATTCATAGGTTATTGTTATGTTATTTTTAAGTTAACTCGTGGGTTATTTTTAGTTTATTCTCAGGTTATTCCTGGGTTATTTATAGTGTATTGTTTTGTTAATTTTGAAGTAATGCGTATGTTATTTTTAAGTTATTTGCAGGTTTATGCACAGGTTATTCTTGGGTTATTCCTAGGGTATTTTTAGGTTATGCCAGGTTATTCGTAGGTTATTTGTACGTTATTTTTAGTGTATTGTTTTGTTAATTCTGAAGTAATGTGTAGGTTTTTCTTAAGTTATGAGTAGGTTATTGCTAGGTTATTCCTGAGGATATTTTTAAGTTATTTTTAGGTTATTCCTAGGTTATTCCTGGGTTATTTTTAAGTTATTTGCAGGTTTGTGCGCAGGTTATTCATAGGTTATTCCAAGGGTATTTTTAGGTTATGTCAGGTTATTCTTAGGTTATTTGTTGTACGTTATTTTTAGTGTATTGTTGGGTTATTCCTGGGTTATTTTTAAGTTATTTGCAGGTTTATGCGCAAGTTATTCTTGGGTTATTCCTAGGGTATTTTTAGGGTATTGTGCGCATGTTATTTGTAGGTTATTTGTTGATTGATGAATAAACAGTATTATTAACATGCTCTTATTCCTGTATATTGATGACTATTTTTTTTTTGTTATTCCAGTGTTTATAGCATGCATCTTATTCCTATAGGTTGATGAATAAACAGTCAATGAATTGTAGATGCTGACCATCAGCAGTTAGAGAGGGGTTGGATAAGGTTCAGCCAATTGTTGATCGGGAGATGTGGTCAACACTGGAAAGAATGAAGCTCAATCAGTTTTTTGATCTGCCCCCCTATCCTCAAGATCACATCCTAACTATGCACATATTGAATTGTTGGGATATGAACAGATTGGCTTTCAGAATGGGGGAGAAAGAGCTAAGTTTTTATGCAGACCAAGTTGCTTTGTTGATTGGCATGCCCAACAGAGGTCCTACAGCAACTTGGGCTAAAAAACCCATCAATGACGTAGATGCAAGGCGGGCAAAGAGTGAACTATTGGAGAGTTCATCTGCTAGTACTATTGATGAACTTATTATTAAATTTTTGTTGTCTAATTTATTATTTCCTTCCAGCAATTTTAATGCACCCACATGACTCTATTCATTTGCTGAGAATGTAGACAGTTTTTCTTCATTTAATTGGGTTGCAACAGTATGTGACCACCTAATTGAGCAGGTCAATCCTTGCGCGATGAAAATAAGGATGGGTCAGCCATTAGGATACATGAACG